GAGCTATGTCCATTTAGTGATACCCAACCCCCACACAGGGCCACCTGCCAGGGTGTAACTGTGGCCTTCCCCGCCCTCACCATCACTGTACCTGGGACAGTGGACAGCGTCTGGGGAGGGCACACACATGGTAGTCATCTGTACCATTTTTCCTGGCTGCTCTGGGTTCAGGCGGGGGCCCTGCCCTATTGTGTGTGCACCCCCGCGTTGTACCAGGATGACACCTGGGACACACCTGTGCATGTGAACAGCATGACTCTAGACACGTGGCTGTGACACAGCAGTTTGGTCAGCATCCTGCCCACCTAGTTGTTTACTCTGCGACTCCTCCTTAGCTGCCAGGGCCTCGTCCCCGCTCCCTCACGCTCAACCACCTGCAGCTTCGCCCTTCCTGTGCCCTGTGTTACCCTTGTACTGTAGCAGCCCACCTCAGACACTTAGTAAGGGCCAGGGACCCGTGGGTCCTGTCCTCAAAGCCCCTGGCCCACAGGGTGCAGCAGTGGGTCTGTGAACAGTTGGCAGACAGAACCTGCCGCCTGGACCAGACTGGCCTGTCTATGTTCTCCTCGCCCAGTGACCGGGAGGGCCTGGCTGCGATTCTCCCAAATAATCCTTCACCTCACCAGCCACAGTGAGTTCCTGGTTCAGGTCCTGCTAGGTTGAGGCCTTCAGCCTTGTCCCAGGAAAGAGTGGGCCAGGCAGACTCCTAGGAGCCACCAAGGTCCCCTGAGCGCCCAGCCCATTGGGCATCTTGGCCACCTCCACGGCAAGGGGTGAGCCCTTTTCTAAGAGAGTAATGGGGCCCCCTGACTCCCAGGTGTTCACAGGGTGAGATACCCAGTCCCAGGAAAGCCCTCATCCCTCTGCAGCTGGCTGAGGCATTTACTGTAAACAGAATCCCTGGGTGTCCGCTCATGACTGGAAAGGAACTGCTTTCTCAGTCTGTGGAACATGGAACAGCGGTGGGTGTGAAATGCCAGCCCCAGGTTAATATGCATGGTTAGCGAGTTAGAGTCTGGGACACCTGTCCTCAACCAACCTGTCAGGGGAGACAGCTGAACCCTGGGTCTCCCCTCAGCATCTCCTAGGTGATGCTCATGAGGTATTAAAGGTAGGTGTGTCCCCATTAGCAGGCTCCCAGAGGTGCTCTCGTGTGTGCTGCTTGGTGCTCCAGACCTGATTTACTCTGCTTCTCCTCTCCTATCGCATACTTGACTTGGCATGTTTACAAATACACACCCTAAGTGGCCCTGTCCCTGCCAGGTAACTTGTTCCAGATGTCAGCTGGTCACCTAACAGGTGCCGCCTCACGAGCTTCCTGCTGCCCTGAACCCTCTACCCTCTGAGCGTCCCCACACTCACCCTGATGGCTGTATAGCTCCGTTCCACCTCCTTCAGCTCATCAGCCACAGCCTCCTTGTCACTTGGACCACCTTACAAAACCAGCACCTCCTCTGCGCCTTCCTGCACTCACGGCACCTGACTGCATTTATCGTTTCCTCTCAGGTAGAGCAGAGCATAGATATCCTGAGACCAAGGCTTCATTGTGTTTGTCATGGTTTCCCCGAGCCCAGGGCAGGTGCTCCATAACCTGGATGGACAGACGCGGATGATGTCTTGTGGAGAAAAACCTCCACCCTCCCTGAATGCCCTGTGGCCCAGGGGCAGAGAGCCTTCATCCCTGGGCAGGAACTAGGGTCAACTCCAGAGAAGTAAAGGACACGGCAGCAGAGCCAGCCTAGTGGGGGTTGATGTTGCCTAGAAAGTGAGCTGTCTCCCATGAGGTGAAACTTTTTTTTTATTGAAGTATGGCTGGCACACAAGGTTACATTAGTCTCAGGTGGACAGCATAGTGATTGCATAGTGACAAGTCTATACATTATGCTGTGCTCACTGCAAGGGTAGCTACCACCTATCCGCCTACAACGCTGCGTCAGTGATACCCATGACAGTATTCTCCATTCTGTATATTTCATGCCCATGACTTACTCATTTCATAGCTGGAAGCCTGTGTCTCCCACCCCTCTTCATTTTGCCTGTCTCTCCACCATGTTGTGAAGGCTAGTGTCAACGAGTACTGCCTATGTTTTCTTCTACAAGTTTCATGGTTTCAGGTCTCACATTGAGTCCTTAAATCCATTTGAGTTCATTTTTGTGTATGGTGTAAGAAAGTCCAGTTTTCCCAGCACCGCTTATTGAGCAGACTCTATTTCTCTGTTGTATATTCTTGTCTTCTTTGTTATAGGTTAATTGACTATATAGGCAGGAGTTGATTTCTGGGCCCTTTATCCCGTTCCATTGAGCTATGCATCTGTTTCTTTGTGCCAGTACTTTATTGTTTGGATTACTGTAGCTTTGTAGTGTATCTTGAAATCCAGAATTGTGATACCTCTAGCTTTGTTCTTTTTCAAGATCGCTTTGGCTACTTGAGGTCTTTCGTGGTTCCATACAAATTGTAGGATAGTTTGTTCTGGTACCGTGAAAAATGCTGTTGGTATTTTGATAGGGATTGTATTAATTCTGTAGATTGCTTTGGGTAGTATAGACATTTTAACAATATTTTTCCAATCCACGAGCATGGGGTGTCATCTTCAGTTTCTTTCATCAGTGTTTTATAGTTTTCAGAATACAGGTCTTTCACTTCCTTGGTTAAGGTAATCCCTAGGTACTTTATTCTTTTGGGTACAATTTTAAATGAAGGTTAACATTTTTTAAAAGGAAAAATCATCCTCCTTTTTAGCCCTGCAGGCACCACACAGAGAAACCTTGGGGGCAGGGTGGGGGAGGGGTCAGAATGAACTGAAACTTGGGTTCTTTGTACCTGCAGCTGGTACACAGAGCTCTGCTGTCACCCACTAAAAGGTCTGCCCTGCAGTCAAAACTACCACATCTGGAGAGTGGGACCCAGCTTTGAGCTCTCACAGATACTAGCCTGCCACCTTAAAAAAAATGCTATCCCAATTGTAAAAGTCTCTCTCTTGGAAAGGCAAAACACAAAATTCTCCTGCCCCTCAATTTCTAGAAGGGGGGACCCGAAGACACAAAATTACACAAAGATGACCCAAAGCAGATTTTGCAAACTGTGTCCCATAGAGGAAAAAGGATGTTTTATAGTTTAAAGAGTTTAGGACCACTTGGGGGACGGAATCAGAGGGGTTTTACCAGCAATGCCTCTCAACCTCTTGATTAAGAATCGGCGTCCATACCACACTTGCTTTATGCCAGTTTACTCATTCAGTCCTCTTAATCCTGTGAGGCAGATACCCCGTTTCACAGATGTAGAAACTGAGAGTCAGCATTCACAAAACAAGCGCAGAGGTGTGAACGTGCCCAGACTGGACAGTGGCTTGTGCCATTTTCCAGTTTATTTGACCCCAACATTCTGTGAGTGAACAAGACTTACTAGTTCTCACAGTCCTTGGAATCTCGTTAGGGTAATGTCCCTCTGCAGACGGAGGGCATACAGAGGCACAAACAGAAGCACCAGATACTTCCCCTGATGACATTGTTTTTTCTGATATTAAAGGCATTTGCCATACAGTTATTTACTATTCTTAAGGCTGCTAATTGAGTTTAAAAAAAAAAAAAAAAACCCTGAGGGAAAATTCTAGATGGTATTTTCAAATCATTTTATTAAGACTACAGAGTGATTTTATGACCTTTAATATTGTCTGCTTTAATACAGTGGGAAATAGCCAAAAATTTCCTACAGTGAGGTATGGAATTAATGGTATACCACATTTGTGGATAGTTGGTTTTTTTAACTTACAGAATTGGGAGTAGTTCAGGTCCAGGAAGATGGAAAGGGATGTTGGGCCACCAAGTAGGGAAAATAGCTGGACAGGCAAGTAGACATGGACGTAGTCCTTGCTCCTCACAGTCAGCCTGAAATAGAAAGTGGGCTGAGAATGGATATGAAATACACAAACACACACAGTGGAAAATTAGCCGTGAGAAAGTTCGAAGTCCCACTGTTTGCAGTAACATGGATGGACCTTGAGACTATTACCCTAAGTGAAGTCACACAAAGATTATACATCATACTGTATGACATTACTTATATATGAAACCTTAAAAAGCCCAAACTCAGGAGACAGAGAAGAGTGCTGGTAAGTAAGGAAAGGGGAAATGGGGAATCGGCCAAAGGGCACAGACTTCCGAGTTCTAAGAGAGTAAGTTCTGGGGATAGGATGTATAGCATGATAATTATAGCTAATACTGTATTTATTACTTGACAGTTGCTGAGTAGATAGATCTTAAATATCCTCACCACAGAAAAAAAGAAATGGTAATTCTATGACAATGATGAAGGCGTTAATCATTTTGCAATATAGAAGTATCAGATCATCCCATTGGGCACTTTCATCTCACACAGTGTAGTGCATCAGTGATGCCTGAATAGAGCTGGGGGTGGGTACTGAGAAGTCTCAACCCTGCCCCCCGGCTCAGGGTGAGAAGCCAAAGGAGAGAAGAAGGTGGCAAGGTGAAGGCCAGCAGCTGTGGTGGCCACAGCCCCGCTGACAGGGCCCACCCGGGACTAGAGAGATCAGGACACATGCCAGCAAGGGCCTGGGCAGCACTTGCCCCTGCACCCCAGCCCACCTTACAGCCTGGGGAAGGCCCCTCGCCAGTGTACAGAGATGCACGCCTGCTCCACCAAGTTCACACATTTATGAACAAGAACTTGGTGAGAGTGATTCCATGTCCCCGCCACGAGGACCTCTGTAACTGACCCTGTTCCCACTGGTATATTCAGCTCCCACAGTTACTCAGCTCATCAGTTCTGGAGGAGAGGCACGGTGACAGGAGTCACAGGTGGCAGGAGACGTGAGCACCCCGTCCTCCCCCGAAACAGATGCCTTAGACAAATTAGGCAGCTTCACGGCCACGGTCTCCTGGTCGGATTTCTGCAAGTCTCTTGAGCTCACAGCGGGGTTAGGACGCAGAGGGCGCGGGGACGGAGATGAGGCCTCACTGTCCTGTCCCCGTCTGTGTTGCAGCTGGTCAGTGACTTGCTGGAATTCTGCTTCTACACCTTCCGAGAGTCCCAGGCCCTGAAAGTGGAGTTCCCCGCGATGCTGGTGGAGATCATCAGCGACCAGCTGCCAAAGGTGGAGTCCGGGAACGCCAAGCCCCTTTACTTTCACAGGAAGTGACGGAAGACATCTTACCAGGAGAGCTTTGCCTTAAGTTTCCCCATGTTATTCTACACCCACGAAGGACCCAAGGAATCATATTTTTAACATGTGATGGTTGATTCATACTCGTTCAGCAGTTTCTCAAGTTGAAATCACGTCAAGGGTTCAGAGCCGGGAAAGCAGTTTGACACGGATTTGGCAAGACCTGAGCCGTCTGAAGGATTCTTCCCTGTCCAATCCCCAGCGCTTAGAAACATGTTCCTGTTCCTCTGGATGAAAAGCCATATCTAGTCAATAACTCTCTGATTTTGATATTTTAACAGATGGAAGTTTTAACTATGCCATGTAGTTTCCGGTATCGCTTGTTTTAAAAGGGTTCAAGGACTAACGAACTTTTTAGAGCTTACCCTTGGTTGCACATAAAACGTATAGTCAATATGGGGCATTAATATTCTTTTGTTATTTAAAAAAACACAGAAAAAAAGAAAAAAAAAACATATACAGATTCCTGTTGTGTAATAACAGAGCACGTGGGGTGGAAGAGCGGCCCCGTCGTGGGACTCACTCGTCCGCGTTCCTCTGCATCACTGGTATACACACCCTTTAGCGTCCATTTATTATTTAATTAGAACAGATAAGATGTTAAACAAATGCCTTGGTTTCAATTTCTAGTATCTATTGTGTTGGCTTTACAAATAATTTTTTGCAGTCTTTTGCTGTGCTGTACATTACTGTATGTATCAATGTGAAGGACCTGAAATAAGGTATAAGGAACTTTTGTAAATGAGACACATACAAAAAAAAAAAAAAAAAAAAAAAAAAAAAAAAAAAAAAAAAAAAAAAAAAAAAAAAAAAAAAAAAAAAAAAAAAAANAAAAAAAAAAAAAAAAAAAAAAAAAAAAAAAAAAAAAAAAAAAAAAAAAAAAAAAAAAAAAAAAAAAAAAAAAAAAAAAAAAAAAAAAACAAAACTTTAATGGTTGATAGGATGAAGGGGAAAGTATTTTTGAAAGAATTCTATTTTGCTGGAGACTATTTAAGTACTATCTTTGTCTAAAACAAGGTAAAAAATTTTTTTTGTAAAGTGACATGTTCTGCATGCATAATGAACCGTTTACAGTGTATTTAAGAAAGGGAAAGCTGTGCCTTTTTTAGCTTCATATCTAATTTACCATTTTACAGTCTCTGTTGTAAATAACCACACTTAAACCTCTTTGGTTGTCTCTAAGCCTTTCTACCTTTTCCGTACTTTTGTTTTGTCTCTGGTCTCCCGCTTGGGGCGTTCGTGGGACTTGAGCACGGTTTCCGGCTTCTGCTCCATCCTGCTTCTATCCAGGAGTGACAGGCTGCAGTGCCCGCAGCTCCTCCAGGGGTTCAGTTACCTGACAGCACAGAGTGGGTGTCCGGGGGCAGTGCCACAGCTTTACGAGGGCCGCCTCTTTTCCTTTCTTCCTCATGAAGCAGAATCGGCTCCGGGGAGGGGGGAGAGTGAAACTGGAAATGCCATGGCCCAGAGAGCAGAGTCTCATCCCATTGTAGAAACTCAGATTTTCTCCTTTGGGAAACAAATTCCATGTACTCACTACATCTGTGGAAGGTGACCTATTCACTTCTGGTCTTGGAAAGGGGTTTTGCACTCCTGGAACTGGTCATGGGAACACGTAGGCCATTGCAGGACGCACTGGGAAGATGCATTTTGGCACGGTTCGGTCAGAGTGGCGTGGAGACCACACGATATTTAGAGGGTTTTTAGATTTTTAAAAGGTAGGTTTTAAAAATAAATTTTATACATACAGTTTTGGAAAAAAAACTACAGAACATATAAGCAAGACAGTGGCACTAAAATTTTTAATTCATTAATCTGTTTGGCACTGATGCAATTTACGGCTTCTCTCTTATCCCAGATCACAAACCTATATATCTTTGGGGAAACTTAACAATACGATTGCACTAAATAAATAAAACTACTTTGAACAGAGGCCAAATTAATCTTTTAAAAGTGACGATAATCATCAGGTACTCAGTGAAATCACATTATTTTCCAGAACCTAAAAGCTGTAGCTGGAGAAGCCAGGAGAAGGCAGCGTTGGGATCACCACTTTTCTCCAGGGTTCACCATGCAGGCAACATTACTTTGTCTCTCAGAAGACACCTGCCTTATGCAAGGGGAAGCCTGTGAAAGCTGCATTCAGAGGGAGGACTTTTTCTTACATAATTTGCAATTTCAGTAATTTCATTTATAGGCAGATCTTTAAATACAGTCAACTTACATGCACAGCAATAGGAAAGCCACACTTGGAAGGTGATAAATACTCAGCATGCAGACTGGGAGTTTCTAGAAAAGAAACGGCTTACAAGAGCAGCTTTTAGCTCGAGACTTACGTTTCATGAAGTTGGAATTTCATGGTAACCAGGTTTGGGATGGAGACAGTCTGCATCAGCTTTTTGTATTAACAAAGTTACTGGCTCTTCATGTGTCTCCAGGTAACTTTGCTTGATTAAACAGCAAAGCCATATTCTAAATTCACTGTTGAATGCCTGTCCCAGTCCAAATTGTCTGTCTGCTCTTATTTTTGTACCATATTGCTCTTAAAAATCTTGGTTTGGTACAATTCATATTTCACCAAAACTTCTTCATATAATTAAAAAACACTAAATTAGTTTAAAATGAAGCAATTTATATCTTTATGCAAAAACATATGTCTGTCTTTGCAAAGGACTGTAAGCAGATTACAATAAATCCTTTACTTTAATCACCTGTTGTTTTGGAAACATTTCATTTGAATGTCCGTAGGAACACCTGGATTTTTGTGTCCCTCTCAATCTTGATACCTTGCGCTTCTGCCTACATCCAAGATAGAGTAACATTTGCCCCTCATGTTAGAGCCCCCACCCACCCCATTAACCCATATCCATTATATACTCTTTTGGGAATAATTAGATGCCTTGTTTCTCACTGCTAATACTTGGGGTCACTAGACCTATAACAGTTTGATGACAGTAACTGCTACTAAACACTCTGTGTACATTGCCTCCCCTGTCTTCACGGCCACAGGAAAGCTGGGTCATCCGTTTTTCAGACTTTGAGACTGACCTGAGTAGAGCACATGTCCCGTCGGACTCCAGAGTTCTTCCTCCACGCAGTCCTGCTTTGCTCTCTCCCCGTACATCCTCTTGGGCCAACAAGAGATTCGGCTCCTCACTGGCCGAAATGCTTCTCACACTCCTTACAGGCTGCTCCCCTTGATTTCACGCATATAATATGGACCACAGAAGAGCAGGAAGCAATTGTCAGCTCATCTTAAAACTAGAAAACATATATTTCCCACCAGATAACTTCAAGTTCATTTTTAACATGTCATTTAACTGGTGATCAAACTATTTGCTTCCAGAAAGAGATTAATTGAGCATTAAGCAAATTCAACTTTGTTCTAACATGATGGAAAGATTTCTAGAACACAGCATGGCCATTAAACACAGAACAGTTGAAAAAGTTGTCAACTCTAGAGTTGTGCGCACACATTCGTTTTTAAAACATCTATACATGCAGTTAATTTTATATCTTAAAGTTAACAGAATCTGACCTGCTAGGAAGCAAGGCTTTTCACCGAGCACCTCTAATTTTAAATAACAGCCATCACAGGCTGTGAGCCCTATGTGCCTAGGAGGAAGCCACCCCAGTCTGCTCCCTTCTTCATTAGAGTGGGTGTCCTTTCTGAATGGAGCAGATTCATTCTTGGCACAAGTGTGGCTCTATTTCTGAGAATTTCTAAAAGAAGTGCTCTCAGACCCAAAGAAACCAGCTGCACATTTGGGAATCCTTAGCTGAGAGCGAAGGCTCTTCCCCTGAGACAGCCAGCCACTGTACCCCAGAGCAGTGAGGCTTATGCACAGTGATGCATATATAATTAGGGGTTTGTTTGCTTCTGTGTGTTGAATGCCCCTCAATCAAATAGAAAACATTGTCCCTCTATGTTAAAGTCAGCGCTAACATACTTTTTATAAACTGCGAGTGTACACAGACTAAAATGACTTGATTACAAGTCTCTGGCACTTTAATTGCAAGCCCTCCAATTGTCAGTGCAGCAGTTTTCTTGGAAGTAACACCGTGGCTTCCCAGACAACACTGGATAAGAGAAGACTGGAATATGATCTTAATGGTCGGCATGGACCAAGACTATATCCAAAGGAAAGCAAACTATGGGGCAGAGGAGAAGGTGGGTAGCTGCAAACCACCCCAAAATGTGGTGGTTTGAATCAACCACTATTTGTTATTATTTCTCGTGAGTATACAAATCACTGGGAGGGTTCTGATCTGGACCAGGCTCAGCAGGAGTCCGGCCTCGTGGTGCATCTGCAGTTAAGCAGCAGTCTGGTCTGGGATGCTTTTGCTCCGTGTAGCCTCACATCTTCCAGTGGAGCAGCCTAGGCATATTTTCATGGTAAAGGCAAGGCTCTAATAAGAAAGGAGTGGGAAGGTATAACACTCTTCAAGCCTCTGATTGCATCAAGTTTGCTCCTGTTCCATTGGCCAAAACAGGTTACAAGGTCTAGAGTCCTCATGAGAGGGCTCCACAAAAAACGACATGGATTCAAAGAGTGGTGAAATGTAGGATCATTAAATCAATCTACACTGACGATTACTCTGATACTTTTTCATAGAATTTATGTTGCCAGGACAGTAGTTTCCAAGTTATCCGTGATCTGAAAAACCCATTTCTTTGGATCTGCATGCCCTTGGCGGGCCCAGCCCGCTCCAGAAAGGGTCACAGCTACTAGGAAGCCCCATTGGAACATTTTCCTCCTGCAGCGTTTCCTCAGCTGCTGAATCCCTCCACAGAAGAAGTCTAGACACCAGCACACAACACTGAGCTGCCTGAATGAATCTTGTGCATTTATTGCTCAAGTTCAAAGTGCAGGTCTCCTGCTGAGCAAAAAGCAGAAGTCTGCTTTCCAATCAAGTTGATCTCTGATAGGAAGGTGTTCTCTAAGGTACTCCTCCAGCTAGGAGATCGAGAAACTTTTTTGCAAACATGAGCATTAGGAGAATGTGCCAGGTTACCCAAGTGGGGTGGCAATAAATTACTACCCCAGCCAGTCAAGGAAAAAAAGTGCTGACAGGCATTGGAGAAGACATTTGCAGAGCTTGGAGCAGGAAAGCCGTTTGAGGACACGCTCCTGGAATAACATCTTTGGATAGGAGGAAGGAAGGAAAGTTGTGTGGCTCAGGAAGATTAAAAAAGGCTTGGAAAATATCTGGCTGACAAAGGAGTCAACAAGACCAGCATTGAGAGATTGGAGGGGAGAACGGTCAGAAGGTGAGATGGGGCCCAGCACCGAGGTCAGGATTACAGAGGCAATGTCCTCGGGAAGGAGGGGAAAGGCCTGACCATGCAGGGGGAAAAACTGAGGAATGGTCTTTGGAAAGGACCTGGAGAAAAGCAGTGAGTGGCCAAGAGACGAAAAGGGTGACAGAGACTATTCCCATCCTTCTCCCATCTCCATTTACCAAACTGTTTCCCGCTGCGCACCCTTCAGGTACTTAATGTTATCATTTGTCACAACATCTCAATGAGGTTTGTGCTGTTCTCTTGCAGAGAAGGGAACTGAAGCATAAAGAGGTCACGTTCACTTGCCCAAGGTCACCAAATATAAAATAGTAAAAAAAAAAAAAAAAAAAAGTTCAAAATTGGTTGTTTTTAACTCAAAGCTCACACTTTTTTAGCCACCATATTAGCTCCCTTGAACTGCTATTACAAGGTACCACAAACCGTCAATTCCAAGTCCAA